TTACTCTCTGCTCAGTAACATGATAATGGGTCCTTGTTTGAGGTTGTTTTGTTAGTTTGGTTTTGTGACTGTTGGGTCTTTGGGAAAGTCATGATGTAGTTTTCTCTGTTTTTCTATGCAAAAATTCATCATAATTTCCTGACAACCCAATATTAGATACGTAGTGGCAATTACTTTAATAATATTTAATCTTTAGTAAAGGCGAAAGCATTTTGTCCCAGCTATTTCTTTCCTCTTCTTTGTTCCTTTCCTTTTCCTTTCCTTTTCTCTCTCTTTCTTCTTTCTTTCTTTCTTTCTTTCTTTCTTTCTTTCTTTCTTTCTTTCTTTCACAGATTTTTGCCTTAGAACACATGTGCTCTGCTGGTGACAGAGTCAGACAGAGGCAGTTAGAACGAAAGTGAGAAATCACCTCCCAGGGAAGTGGCCACACTGAATCCTTCATTCTCCTCCTGGGATCTTGGGCATGTACACACACACACACACACACACACACACACACACACACACACACACACACGCCCAGTGTGATTTTCAAGCCACTGGGGGTCCAGGTCTTGAATCTCAGTAGGCCATGGGGAAGTCTAGCAACATAACCATTATGCTATCTGCTGCTTCCCTCCCCCCAAGTAATTTCTTTTTAATGTGTAAATTTACTTAAATGTGTTTGCTCCCATTTAAGTAAAAGCTCCCATGCTTTTCTCAGACATGGCTAAAGATATAGCACAATATTAATAAATCTTATTTTAATGCAGGAAACTTTGTTAAAACTTTAACTCAAGTTGGCACAAAGAGCACACATCTATCCCTGGTTAATTGTCTTTCTGTCATTGATTTGTTTGAGAATATTTCTTCTCTCTGACTTTTTTTCCCCTGTCTATTCAATACAGGATTAGAGTAGGGTCAACAGTCTGAATGGCGACCTATAAAGTAAGACAGTTGGTTTCACTTCACCTTATTTAAATAAGTATTTAGGGTATGGTGGTTATGGTGCTGGACTCCCACATGGCCAATTGCAGTGGGGACTTGACTCTCTCAAGTCCCAGGCTTGGTGGCTTGTTTTCTCATTTCTCTCTGTCTGTCTCTGGTGAGCACATGTGCTCTATAGCAAATTTAAAAATAGTAATAATAAAATTAAGTAAAGAATTCTTTAAAAACGAATGAGTTCTTTTATCTTCTAGTAGAACAGACACACTCATTTTGCTTGGCAATCTACTCCCATACCCCACCATTGAATTACATCTAGGCACTTTTTGTATTCCCTGAATGGCTATTAAAAACATTTGACCCTGTGGCTCATAAATTAGATGTTTTGTTAAATTTCCTTGTGCTCCAATGACTTTAATTATTTTTAAAAATATTTATTTATTTAATTTGTTTATTCAATTTGACCTGATAGAGGTGGAGAGAGAGAGGGAGCATAAAAAATTAAGCCACCAGGTCTGGGAGTCAAATCACATTTGACCACGGAGGAGTCTGAAGCCTTAACCACATTGCCACCTGCTGTCCCCCAATGACTTTAATTATATCAAATTTGTTTCTTTTCTTTTCAAGAGAGATTTTTGCTAAAGGGCATGTATGCCTGTTGGAGAGGCAGAGAGAGACAGAAAGTGAGAAATCACTCGCCAGGGAATATGACTATGCTGCAGTTTCTTCTTCAGTCTT